TGCAGAGTTATGTGGTAATATTTTCATGGGTATAAACATAAGTTAATAATTTACACTTTAAATATGTATGGGCTTATTATATAGATGATACTTCAATGAAACTAATAAGTCCATTGAGATGCCAAGCATAAATTACCAAATAGGACCCAAGAAAGCCAATGGAGGGTACATTTACCAAAAAGGTTGGTCCTCTGAACCTTGAAGAGTGGGTTCAACACCCACCAACATCTCTCTGGATACACTGTCTTCTGTCATTTCTCTGCATCAGGCCCTAGCTAGGTAGCTACTTTATGAAGACGATGGGATGGCTGTGACTTCAGGCCAGTTCCTCTTTAGTAGCTGCATTTGGGGAGAAATGAGTTGAGGCTTGAGGCAATTTTACAAGTCAGGAAGGTGGGTGGGAGAGAATCAGGAGGTGCAAGTGAGTTGGGGAGGGCAGCTAGTCAAGACTGTAACCCAGCCAGGCATGGTAGCACATGCCATAGATCCCAGCACTGGGGAGGGGAGGCAGAGGCAGACAAAGCTTAGTCTACATACACAGCGAGATATAGACCAAGGGTCTCATATTTTGACTCTCTCAAAAAACCAAAAAAAAAAAAAAGAAAAGAAAGAAAGGACAGTAACATAGGGCACACATCTCAATAAATCTTGTTTATGGGTGAGAACATCGAGATAACTTTTCAGTCACATGGAATTAGGACTGTGATTCAAGTTTCCCTATTTCCTGTCTATACCTGCTTCCATCATCCATCTCCATAATGCCAAGATGCTATTGTTTATGTTGATACTATTCACTCAGAGCTTTTAATTTACTTATTTGGTTTTATTGAGGCAGTGTCTCACATAGCCTAGCCTGTCCTTGAATACACTGTGTAGCCAAAACTGGTCTTAAATTCTTGATCTTTCCACCATAGCCTTCCAAGTGCTAAGATTTCAGGTGTGTGTTACCATGTTCATTTCTCACTTAGCACTTTAACTTGGTAATTTTAAAAATTACATTGTATCTATTTATTTAGTGGGATAGAGAGGTGCTCTTGCCACAGTGCTCTTGTGAAGGTCAGAGGACAACTTGTGGAGTCAGCTCTCTCTTACTATAGTGTGGGTCCTGAAGATCAAACTCAGGTCATCAGGCCTGGTAGCAGGCACCTTTTGCCCACTAAGTTATCTTACCAGCTCTCTTAAATTTATTTTATTATATGGTGAATTAAAAAATGGAGCTTGAGAGATGGTGCAGCAGTGAAGAACACTAACTGCTCTTGCAGAGGACCTGGGTTCGATTCCCAGCACCTACATGGCGGCTAACAACCATCTGTAACTCCAGTTCCAGGGGACCTGACACCTTCTTCTGACCTCACCAGGCACTGAACAACACAGGTGCACTTACATACATGCAGACAATACACTCATACACATAAAATAATAAACATTAAAAAAATGCCGGATGTGGTGGCATACAGCTTTAATCTCAGAATTTGGGAGGCAGAGGCAGGCAGATTTCTGTGAGTTCAAGGCCAGCCTGGTCTAGTTCCAGGTTAGCTGGGGCTATAGGCAGACTCTGCCTTAAAAAAGACCCCCAAAAAAAGGGATGAGTTTGATATCTAAAGGAGCTATATATAGAAATGACTCTATATATTATTAAACCAGATTGTAGTAAGTGATATAAATAAGGTGTGCAGAAGAGGGTATTGTGATTAGGCTGTGCTTGCTCTAAGCTATTCTATGTTGTGTAAAATAGTGGCTTTCAGGTTGTGTCTTGCCCTGTATGACTCTATTTTCTGAGCAGTATTTGGCTCCATTAAAAAATTATTTATAGCCAAGTATGGTGGCGCACGCCTTTAATTCCAGCATTCGGGAGGCAGAGGCAGGCGGACCTCTGTGAGTTCGAGGCAGCCTGGTTGGTCTCCATAGTGAATCCAGGCCAGCTGGGGCTATAGGGAATCCCCATCTCCAAAAGACCAAAAAAAAAAAAAAAAAAAGAAATATTTATGCCGGGCATGGTGGTGCATGCCTTTAGTCCCAGCATTCGGGAGGCAGGGGGAGGCAGATCTCTGTGAGTTCAAGGCCAGCCTGGTCTCCACAGTGAATCCAGGCCAGGTAGGGCTACAGGGAGACCCTGTCTCAAAAAGACCAAAAAAAAAATTATGTATTTATTTGTGAGTGTTTTGCCTGCATGTATGTTAAGTGCACCTATGTCTGACTGTGGAGGTCAGAGGAGGGCATCAGATCCTCTGGAACTGGAGTTGCAGATGGTTGTGAGCCACCATGTAGGTGCTGGGAACTGAACACAGGTCCTCTGCATGAACAGCCAGTGCTCTTAACCCCTGAGCCATCTCTCCAGCCCTAGTATTTGGCACCATTTTGTGTGGAGTTACAGAGGCAGGATGATTTGGCATATAGAAATCACCAGCACCACCATGAGAAGCAAGCTGATAACTGTTGTATGGCACTATTCCTGCCGAGATGTAAATAAATGTCTATACACCCCAGATGGAGCACCAACAACAGACCAAAGTAAGGATACCGCCAAAATCCAACTTGGTGAACCAATGAGCTTTAGTGGGGTTACTACAGGAGCAAAAATGACTCAAATACAGCTGTGTCACCAAAGCCCACCTCAACATGGGTGATGAGAGCTCATGAAAGCTGGAAATCTAGAATGGAGTACACTGCACAGCTTGTAGACAGCTCAACAGGTTGGAGAGTGCCTGCCTCTTTCAGGCAGCTCTACTGGTCTGAGCTCATCTTGTCTGACAGTCTCATAGGGGTCCTTATGGGGTAGGAGGGGCCTAGTGAATCTGGTGAGTTTCAGGAAGTTTCCTGAAGCTTTTGAGATCCTTCCTGCCTTAGCTAATGAGCTTTCCTGCTGGATGGAGTGTTTCACCTTCCCTTAGAACATCCAGTTTTAAGAAGCCTCCCTATGAGGTAGAGGGATTTTTTTAAAAAATTATTTTTATTTGATGTGTATACGTGTATTGCCTGTATGTAGGTAAGTGCAACTGTGTCGTAATGTAATGCCCGTGGAGGACAGAAGAGGCTGTCGGATCCCCTGGAACTGGAGTTACAGACAGTTGTTAGCTGCCATGTGGGTGCTGGGATTCAAACCTGGGTCTTCTGCAAGAATAACTAGTGTTCTTAACCGCTGAGCCATCTCTCCAGCCCCAGGTAGAGGGGCTTTCTCTCCAGCCCCAGGAAATTGCTACACAACATAAGGTATTCCTAAAAGTAAAAAGGTACCATCCTTTAAATTTATCAAAGTATAAATACATATGGGTGTATTTTAAAATCACTTAAGGATAACCAGACCCAAGAACTTATACATCGGACCAAGGAAGTGTACAACGCTCTCACCTGGGCCCCATTAAGAGGAGGATATCTAACACTGTGATGACAATGGCCCTCATTAACCTATCATCTGTCCACCTGTGTGTGCATATCAAGGGAGCAACAGGCATTGGTATCCCAAATGTCTGCAGGGCTTCAGCTCAGAGTGACTGCTGATGAGACCTACTCAAATTGCTGTCTGTCCACCCATTCATCCACATCTGGTCCTGCACTTTGCAGCTGAATTCAACCCTGAGGCCTCTCTCAACCCTGTATCCCTGCTGTTTGGCTCTGAGGCTGTGGATGTGGTTGCATGTCCAGCAAATCTCCAGCTGGGTTATCTAATTTCAGTGACTTTCTTTGCACCATATCATAGCTATTTCTGCCTCCAGTAAGGCCTCTCTGAACTCCTTGAATTCTGCTACTGTGTCTTTAACTCTTTTGTAGCCATTCTGTAACCTACTTATATACACTTGTGATGTATGTGATTTGAGTTAATATTAGTTATTAGTAATTAATATTGGAATAAAATACTTTGTTTCTAAATAATATATTCCAATGGCCAATTATCAACAGAAATCAGGACTAATTGGCAAAATGTAGCCAATGAAACTGACACAGCTTGTGACTTTATTGGTGTTCAGTAAATTCAGACATTGTGGAAGGATGCAAACATGTTCCTTTATGTTTCTGACACAAGACTTACGACAGAGGGGAACTCCTTCTCTCTGTAGAAAAGATTCAGTCAAGGGAGGAAACCAGTGAAGCCTTAACCCAGGATCCCAACTCCCCACAAGGGCATTGACGCCCTTTAGAAGTGCACAATATGGGTTGGAGAGATGGCTCAGTGGTTAAGAGCACTGACTGTTCTTGCAGAAGACCCGGGTTCGAATTCCAGCACCCACATGGCAGCTAACAACTGTCTGTAACACCAGTTCCAGGGGATCCGACAGCCTCTTCTGATCTCTGCCTCTGCGGGAATTGCACGATACGGTGCACTTACCTACATGCAGGTGATACACGCATACACATAAAAATAATTTTTAAAAAAGTGCACAGTAAACGTTGGTGTCCTTTTTTCTAGTATATTCTCACCCGACCTAAGTTCCCTGTCAAGTCCGTCTGGTCCCCAAATTGCAGTGGGTTTCATACCACTACTTTTGGTACCTGACTTCTCTGCGGTTCTGGAGCGTCCTTCCTGAAATGAACGAACGTGTTGTGAAATGACACTTGGGAAAGAAATCAACGCTAACAGTTGAGTACTCCACGGTGGAGGCCGGCCTTTGGCTCCTCACGCATGAAAATGAGATGATCATAATAGTATTTCAGAAGGGTGTCAAGTGGATTACAAGGACATTCCTGTAAAGCTTTCCGCTTCACATTTGGCTCAGAAAAGGCAACGCTTGCTCGGGCACGGTGACCTGCCCCGCCCCACGGAAGCCGCCCCTTGACCGCCTCCTTGTCCTGGCAGCGCCCAAGGTGGCGTCCGCGCCGCCACGTCGCTTCCCCCACCCTCAAGACACCCGGGTTCCTCAGACGCTGCCCAGCGCTAGGTACCCGGCTCACCGGGCCGCGCCCCACACCGCCTGCGCCCTGCGATTGGCTGCTGAAAATGCCAGTCTCCAGAGACGGATGCCGATTGGCCAGTTTCGGCATGGAGGGGCGGGCCTCGTGGAGCGTAGGAAGGGTGGGGACCCGGATGTGTGTGGTGGCGGCGGCTGGAGAGCTAGTGTGCGGAGCTGAGAGGCCTATGGATGAGGAGGACGCGGCGGCCCCGGTAGGCGGGGAACGGGGGCGGGGTCCCGGAGGCCTCGGTCCCCGCGGAGCTGGGGGCGGGGGTCCTGGGCCACGGCTCCGGGGTGAGGGGCGGGGCCAGGAGCTCTGGTCGTCGGTCTTCCTCCAGCCGCGTCCTGCCGCGCACCTTCCCCTAGTGCAGGGCCTGGGGAGACCCGGCGTAGCCACACTGACAGGTTAAGGCCGGGCTGCACCCGGGTCGTATCTGACAGACCAGACAGTGTTGGGTAGGAGGCGGGATCCAATGCAGCTGCTGCTGAACGATGCCAAGGCTAGAGGATTCTCAAAGACCAGATGCCCACAAGTCTGGGGTTCCAGCATTTACTTGGGGTCAAGCCCAGGGCCCTGGAAGAGAACCCTAGGTTTGCCCCACAGGTGGCTACTCTTCTGGGCCATCTGGTGGGCCATAGCTCCTGCAGAAGAATCCTAATGTGCACATTGGAATCGAACTCAGCCTAGCCTAGGCTTGCTAAGCACCTACTGTGTGCAAGGCACAGTGCCAGGGCTTGGAGGGTGGGAAGAAAAGAATTCTACACCTTTGTCTCACTTTTGGCGCTCAGGAGAATTTTATTCATTCATTCATGTGTTGGCACTGAAGATTGTCTAAATACCAAGAGGGCCCCCACTCCTCTGTTTCCCACTCCCATTTTGTGGCTGCCATTCCCTGAACTGCTACCATAACCTGCAGCCAGAACGAACTTTAAGATCTGATAAGTTTTAAAATTATATCATTTCTTGCTTAAAATTCCCCAGAGGTTTTTTCATTACCCTTGGGATACAATTCAAACTCCTTACTGTGGCCTGTAGGGCCTGTCTCCTGCCCTGTTTTCCTGTACACTGCTGTCCCTAGCCTCTCCTTTTCCACCATGCCAGCTCCCTTCTACCCAAGGACCTCTGCCTTGACTGTCCCCTCTGCCTGGAATGTTCTTACTGAACTGTCACATGCTTGCTTCCTTTTCAATACGCATGCAGCCTTCAGAGAGAGTCCCTGTCCACTATTTGTTTTTTCCTCCACTGGCTAAAATTGTCATTTGTGCTTGTTAAACTTGTCATGCTTCCTCATGCCCACTAGACTAGAAACCTTATAAGAGTAGGAATCTCATCCACATTGGTCACAGCTCTGCCCCCTAGCACTGAGGACAGAGCATACAGTAGAAGCCCAGTATGTACTTGCTGAGGGAAAGGCTGATTGTTGAGATGCCTTTGGACACCTGTCCTCAAGTCTGGGGCACTTTCCATAATCAAGATTGAGCAGGCTGAGGTACTCTGTGCTGAGCCCTGCTTCTTCCTCAGGTCCTCCTCTCCTCACAGGTTTGTTCTCATGAACAAGATGGATGACCTCAACCTGCATTACCGGTTTCTGAATTGGCGCAGAAGGATCCGGGAGATTCGGGAGGTCCGGGCTTTTCGCTATCAGGAGAGGTTCAAACACATCCTTGTTGATGGAGACACTTTGAGGTGAGTTTAGGGAAATGGTTCCATATTTTCCTTTCTCAGATCTTAGAAGGGAAACAGTTTTAGAGGACAAAGACTGTTTCTACTGCACTGTGAAGGGTATACTGGGCCCCAGTGGCTTTTTGCATTTTCTTCTGCCTCTTGTCCCTGGGCCACTTTGTTTTTTAATTTTTTTATTATATACATATATACATACATACATTTATTTAGTGTATGGGGGTGGGTGCATGCATGCACATGTTGAAGTTAAATGACAACTTGCAGGAGTTGGATCTCTCCTTCCACCATGTAGGACTTGTGGATTGAACTCAGATCATTTGGCTTAGGGGGCAAGTGTCTTTACATACTGAGCTGTCTTGCCATGCCTCCTCCACTCCCCCTTCTTTTTTTAATTTGAGTCAGCCTACGTTGGCCTAAAACTTGGAATCCTTGCTTCAGCCTTCCAAGCACTGAGATTATAGATACATACCACCTCAGCCAGCTTGGGTCACTGTCTTCTGGTCTGGCAAGGAAGGGATCCAGCAAGGGCCTGTCCTGATTGGAAGTGCCCATGGCAGGCGGAAGAGGCCCCTGGGACCAAGATCTTTGTGGAGAAGACTATAGTTGGTCTGTGTGGTCTGAGTCCCCTTCTGCCTACACCTCAGGGACTGGGTTCAGCAAAGAGTGGGCCTTTCTAAGGTAGCAGCCCCCTATTTGGGGATGGGCAGTTCTATAATCCATCATGCTCACCCCCTCCCATGTCTTTCCAGCCCTTTGGTTTGTATTTTTCTCTCTTTTCTGTCTTGGACCTTCCCTGGTTCCTCTTTACCCTAGTCATCATCTGGAGGGGGAGGGAAGTAGTGTTATTTAGCCTGGAGGCAAGAAAGGTGGGGTATCTGGACTGAGTGAGTCTCTTCCAGTCTGTGAAGGGCTTTGATACAGAGGATAGAAATCATCTGTTCTTCGGTTCTACTGAGGACAGAGCTAGAGGCAAGGGCCAAAGTTTCAGCATCTGGGATTGAGGTTAGACAAGACTGTGGGATCCCCTCATAGGCACTTAGGGAAGGGAATATATTTTTAACTCTTGGAAATGAAGAGGCCAGGCTTGTATTGGTCTAGTGTGGGTTGGATCCTGGCTGGAGGCAGTGAGGGGGTAGGTCACCTTAAGTATTGTGTGGTATATGTGCAGATGTCTTGAAGTGTGCCCTGAGGAGGTCACTGTGCCACCCTCACAAGATTGGGATAGAAATGCTGAGGTCCTCCTCCCAACTCCTGAGCTTGCCTGCTAATGGAACTCCTCCATATTCCTTCTTTAGTTACCATGGAAATTCTGGTGAAGTTGGCTGCTATGTGGCTTCTCGACCCCTGACCAAGGACAGCAATTACTTTGAGGTGATGAAGCAGTAGGTGGGCAGAGGCGGGTGGAGTGGCAAATGAGGAGTGAGGGTATTAAGCTCCAAGGTGCTCCTTCCTTTCCTGGATTCATGACCCGGCCTTTTAAATTTCCCAGCGAGGTTGTCCTATTTACTCGGAGAAGGGTACAGGATAGTATGACCTAGACCTGAGAGATAGGTGTCTTAGAGTCTCATCACCCTGGCCCTTTTACTCTGCTAACCCTTGCCTAGGTAGACTTTGATCCATGTCTCAGTCTTTGGCTTATGCACTTTCCTATCCCCTAACCCAAGCCTAGTGTTGACTCTGCCCCTGACCTTTCATTTTTATTTTTTAAATTTTGTGTGTGGGTATGTGCATGTCAGTTCAGTACCTACAGAGGTAAGAGGCATCAAATCCTCCAGGAGCTGGAGTTACAGGTGGTTGTGAGCCAACTGATATGGGTGCTGGGAACCTAACTCAGGTCCTCTGAAAGAGCAGTACTTGCTCTTAACTGCTGAGTCACCTCTCCAAGCCCCCACCTTTTTTCTTTTCTTGCTTTTTTTTTGATAGCACTGGCTGGCCAAGACCTTGCTATATAATCAGGCTGGCCTCAAACTCATGATGATCCTCTTGCCTTAACCTCTCTTGTGCTGAAATTATAGATGTGCCACTATCACACCCAGCTAAATCCTAGGAATGATTGTCTAAGTAATCATGCTAAAGGGTCCTCACCCTCTCTTCTTTTCCGTACTAAGTCTTGCCATCTGATCCCTAGGTCTTTTGTCTCTGAGTGTCAACCCCTTTGAGCACTCTTCTTCCTGCCCTTCTCCCCATAGAATTTCATTCCATTTTATGTCCCTGTGATCTGTGTCCTGCATTCTTCCTTCCAGGTATCAATTGTGGACAGTGGTGTCCGGGGCACCATTGCTGTGGGGCTGGTCCCTCAGTACTACAGCTTGGATCACCAGCCTGGCTGGTTGCCTGACTCCGTAGCCTACCATGCTGATGATGGCAAGTGAGTGGTCCTTTTCTATGCAGTTGAAGCCAAGATGTGAAGGAAAAGTTACCTCCGAGTGGTTTTCTCCATTGCTTCCTGTCTGGGGGGTAAACTGAGCTGATTAGAACAAAGTTACTGTGGTAGCTACCTTTGCAGGTGTGTAGACTTTGGAGGGACAGTGATGTTCATACTAGAACATAGGCAAATGCTATCAAGAGTGACTGGAGGGACTGGGAGATGGCTAGGAGCCATTAAGAGTATGTACTGATCTTGAAGAGGACCTGCGTTTGGTTCCCAGCACCCACATCAGGCAGTCACAGCCACCTATAACTCCAGCTCCAGGGATCTAATGCTCCCTTCTGGCCTCTGTGCCTTCCTGCACTCATGTGGACCATACCCATACACAGACATACACAGACACATAATTTTTAAAAAAATCTTAAAAAAAAAATCCAGGTTTGGTGCAACACACCTTTAATTCTAGCACTCAGGAAGCAGGGACAAGTGGATCTCTGTGAGTTTCAGGTTAGCTGGAGCTATAGAGAGACCCTCTCTTAAAAAAAAAAAAAAAAAAACCAAAACATGATTGGAAATGCTGGGATGGTGCTGGGGAGGGGTGGGAGAAGCCACAGTCCTGTGTCTGCCACTCTCTCCACAGGCTGTACAATGGCCGGGCCAAGGGGCGCCAGTTTGGGTCAAAGTGCAACTCTGGGGACCGGATTGGCTGTGGCATTGAGCCTGTGTCTTTTGATGTGCAGACTGCCCAGATCTTCTTCACCAAAAATGGGAAGAGGGTGAGTGAGAAACTTCGGGAAGGTTCAAGTGGCTTTAAGTTGCCCAATGATTTGTGCAAGCAACCAGGAAGAATCTGATGGCTGGGGCTCGTCCAGCCGCAGTCTACATTTACTTCTCATCTCCTGTCTTGCCATAGACAGCCCCGTGTGTAAGAGAAGAAACTTTCCCTGCCCAGGGCAGCTGGGACATGACCTAGATGATAGATTTAGAGGGGCAAGTTAGTGCTGCCAGCAGGGGCAGAAGCAGGCGATTTGAATAAACAGAAAGAAAGGGGTTATGCATGTAACTCAGTTGATACAGAGCTTGCCCAGCATGTACAAGGCTCCGGGTTCAGTCCCCAGCACTGCATAAATGGGCATCTGGGGGCACTTGGGAGATGGCTTCAGGAAGACCAGAAGTTCATGGTCATCCTTGACTATATAGTGAGTTGAAGGCCAGCTTGGGTTACATGAGATACTGTCTTTAAAAAAAAGTTTTCTTCAGGAATGTGGCTCCTAGAGGTTATGCTCTAGGTGTAGGGTACCCTCTAAATGATCCTACAGACAGTACTAAGTGGACTCAGTGGGTTTTAATTTTTTTTTTCTTCTTTAGAGAAGACTCAGAGACTCAGTGGGTTTTTAAAGAAAAACACATAAAGTTGGGAGGGAAAAGTATGTGTATATATGCTATAAGAGGAATTGGAGGGGAGGAAATGGTAGATTTGATCAAAATAATAGAATAATTTAAAAAATTATTTCTATGTGTATGGGTGTTTTGTTTGCATGTATATAAGTGTACCACATTCATGCAATGTCCATGGAGGTCAGAAGAGGGCACTGAATCAGTCCCCTGAAACTTGAGTTACGGATGGTTGTTAGCTACCATGTTGGTCCTGGGAACGAAACCCAGGTCCTCTGTAAGAGCAGCCAGTACTCTTAACCGCTGAGCCATCTCTCTAGCCCTCACCCCCAAATATATATATATATTTATTTATTTTTTAGGAAATACTGAGGAAATAACCGGACCAAAACAAGACCAAAATCCAGCACCCAAAAATAGTTTCTTTTAAAAGAAAGATTATGGCATAGCTGTATAAACTAGAGGGTTTACACAGCTCTACCATCATGTCCAGTGGGGTTTTGATTTGCATATTTTGGGGGATTTGTCCATTCTCAGTTTTCTTTCCCTTTTCCCGATTTAAAGACAGTAGTAATACCGAGGAGATGAAGTAGTGATGAGACGGATGGGAGACACCCAGCTCTCTGTCTCTCTCGGGCTTTTGGAGACAGGGTCTCCCTGTAGCTATCAGCTGGCCTGGAACTTATTATGTAGATCAGGCTGGCCTTGATCTCATAGAGATCTGCCAGCCTCTGCCTCCAGAGTGCTGGGATTAAAGGTGTGCACCACCATACCCACCGAGGAGATGAAGTAGTGATGAGACGGATGGGAGACACCCAGCTCTCTGTCTCTCTCGGGCTTTTGGAGACAGGGTCTCCCTGTAGCTATCAGCTGGCCTGGAACTTATTATGTAGATCAGGCTGGCCTTGATCTCATAGAGATCTGCCAGCCTCTGCCTCCAGAGTGCTGGGATTAAAGGTGTGCACCACCATACCCGGCTCCAGCTCTCTCTCTCTCTCTCTCTCTCTCTCTCTCTCTCTCTCTCTCTCTCTCCCCCTCTCCTCTCTCTTTTTGAGACAGGGTCTCCTTGTAGTCCCAGCTGACCTGAACTCATTATATAGACCAGGCTGGCCTTGAACTCACAACAGTCTGCCTGCCTTTGCCTCCCGAGTGCTGGGATTAAAGGCGTGCTCTACCATGCCTGGCTCTCTTGTCTTTTTGAGACAGGGTCTCCCTGTAGCCCCAGCTGACTTGGAACTCACTCTATAGACCAGGCTGGCCTTGAACTCACAGAGATTCATCTGCCTCTGCTTTCCTAGTGCTGGAATTAAAGGCATGCGCCACCACGCCCAGCTCGGCTCTCTCTCTCTCTCTTTTTTTTTTTTTTTTTTTTTTTGTGACCAGGTCTCCCTGTAGTTACCAGCTGGCCTGGAACTTATTATGTAGATCAGGCTGGCCTTGAACTCACAGAGATCCACCTGCCTCTGCCTCCCAAGTGATGGGATTAAATCAGCTTTCTCTCTTTACCCCCTCCTCTCTACCCTGCTGGAGGAAGATGTCTTCTCAAACCAGGTCTGCTCCCTTAGCAGCCTTGCCTTGGTTTTACCACTGTGGTATTCATGCGGGAGTCCAGAAAGTACCTGACAGCAAGTTCAGAGACTTGGGTTTGCCTTTCTAGCTCTGTGAATACCTTGCTTGGCCAGAAATACTTAGCAAATTTTAAAATGTTACTTAACCTGTTTTTTAAAATCTGTGTTTGATAATTATTGATTGCATCATCTTAAAAGTGCCTTAGTGAGAATTGGATGAGCTATGGAAAAGTGAGCCACGTGGCAACTCCCTTCTCCCTTCCTGTGCTGCAGGTGGGCTCCACCATCATGCCCATGTCCCCAGATGGGCTGTTCCCAGCAGTTGGCATGCATTCCCTGGGTGAGGAGGTGCGACTGCACCTCAACGCTGAACTGGGCCGTGAGGACGACAGTGTCATGATGGTGGACAGTTATGAAGATGAATGGGGCCGGCTGCATGATGTCAGAGTCTGTGGCACTGTAAGTAAGAGGCAGTGGCGATAAGGGCAGGTGGAGAGGGCCAGGAAGAACACATGTGGGCATTTGAGCACATCAGTATTGCTCAGAATGGGGAGCAAGGAGAGTGTTTTTCTTTGTCTCAGGAATGTTGCTCACGTTGGCCTTAAACTTTCAGAGGGGGGAGGGAGGGAGGGAGGGAGAGAGAGTGTGTGTTACTGGATACTGAAGCTAGGGCCTTTCAAATGCTAGGCAAGTGCTGTACCAGTGAGGTGCTTACCTCTGGCTGCTCTTCTATTTTTAACCCATTACACAGGGTCTCCCTGTAGCCCCAGCTGTCCTGGAACTCACTATGTAGACCAGGCTGGCCTTGAATTCATAGAGATCCCCTTGCCTTTGTGCTTTGATTCCCTTCCCAAGTGTTGGGATTGAAGGCGTGTGACTCCACGCCCAGTCTGTAGCTCTTTTTTTTTTTTTTTTTTTTTTTTTTTTTTTTTTTTTTTGTTTTTTTGAGACAGGGTCTCCCTGTAGCCCCAGCTGTCCTGGAACTCACTATGTAGACCAGGCTGGCCTTGAACTCACAGAGATCTACCTGACTCTGCCTCCTGAGTGCTGGGATTAAAGGCGTGTGCCACCATGCCTGGCCTATCTCAGGCAAACTTTGAACTTTTAATCCTCATACTTTAGCTTCAAGTGGCTGGGATATAGGCCTATGCCACTAGGCATTTTAAAAAAAAAAAAAAGCTTTGTTGTTGATCTCTTCTGACATTTAAAAAAATTTTATTTCTGTCTCCCTACCTTGGCCTCTTCAGTGACTAGAACTGCAGTCCTGGTGCCCCTGCACTCAGGACAGTGGCTTTGGGGAGTGGGAGTTCTGGTAGAACAGCCTGAAGCCTTGATATGATTCTTACAGTCTTGATCTGTGTTCTTAGCACTGGTTCCCCCTTTCCCTTTTCCTTCATCTGGGGTCTCAGGTTTGTTTCCAGGAGAACAAGTAGAAGCTCTCCCTTGCTGGTTTCTCCTTGTTCAGTGTCTGAGGCCCTCTGCTCTGCACAGGGATTGATCTCAGAGGGCCACTACCTGCACTCCCCTTTTGACTTGATTCAACTCAGCTGGCCTGCTTCTAGTCCTATAACTGAGGAGCAAG